GCAGAACTGAACTTGGTTGCAAACAATAGGAAGACATTCTACAGGTACATTGGCCAGAAGAGACAGGCCAAAGCAGGTGTATCTCCCTTGGTAAATGTAAAAGGAGAGCTGGCTTCAACAGATGAGGAAAAGGCTGAGGTACTGAATGCGTTCTTTGACTTGGTCTCCACTGGCAGCCAGGATTCTAATATTTCTCACAACCCTGAGCCCTGCGTTCCTAAACATCTAGGTGGAGACTAGCAGAGTAACTTTCCCCCCACTGTAAGGACAGAGCAGGTCCGAGACCGCCTCATGAGATTGAATGTGTACAAGTCTATGGGGCCGGATGGCGTGCATCCCAGGGTTCTGAAGGAGCTGGCTGAGGTGGTTGCTGAGTCACTCTCCATCATATTTGAAAAGCTGTGTCTGCCAGGTGAGGTCCCAGTTGACTGGAGGAAGGGTCACGTCCCTCCCATTTACAAGAAAGGGAAAAAAGAGGACCTGGGGAACTACAGGCCGGTGAGTCTCACCTCTGTGCCTGGGAATGACAGAATCACAGAATCACAGAATGGTCAGGGTTGGAAGGGAACTCCAGGATCATGAATATCCAACCCCCCTGCCACAGGCAGGGCCACCAACCTCACCATTTAAAACTAGACCAGGTTGCCCAGGACCCCATCCAACCTGGCCTTGAATACCTCTAGGGAAGGGGCATCCACAAACTCTCTGGGTAGCCTGTTCCAGCACTTTACCACTCTCAGAGTAAATAACTTAATCATGGAAGATCACGGAATAGACATGCTCCTGGATGACATGCTAGATCATATGAGGAATGACCGTGTGATCCAAGACAGCCAGCACAGCTTCACCAGGGGAAGGTTATGCCTAACCAACCTGGTGACCTTCTATGATGGGGTGACAGCATTGGTGGACAAAGGAAAGGCGACTGATATAATTTACCTGGACTTGTGCAAGCCTTTGACATGGTCCCCCACCACATCTTTAACTCCAAATTGGTGGGATTTGATGGGTGGAGCACTTGGTGAATAAAGAATTGGTTGAAAGGCTGTAGACTAAGGGTGGTGATTAATAGTCCTATGTCCAGGTGTAGGCTGGTAAATAGTGTTGTCCCCAAGGGGACTGTCTTGGGAATGGTGCTCTTTAACATATTTATCAATTATATCAATGATGGAATTGAGTGCACCAGCAAGTTCGCTGATGACACCAAGCTGAGTGGTGCGGTTGGCACAGTGGAAGGAAGGGATGCCATTCAGAGGGACCTCGAGATGCTAGAAAGGTGGGCCTGGGTGAACCTAATGAGGTTCAACATAACAAAGTGCAAGGTTTTGCACTTGGGCTGGAGGAATTCCAGGCATCCATACAGAGTGGAAGGAGTGGTCCTTGAGAGCAGCCCTGTGGAGAAGGACCTGGTGGGTGAAAAACTGAACATGAGCCAGCAGTGTGCTTCTACAGCTCAGAAAGCAAATGGTATCCTGGGATCCATCAGATGAGAAGGCTATGGGGTGACCTCAGTGCAGCCTTTCAGTACGTAAGGGGGGCCTATGAAAAGGAAGAGAGCCACCTCTTTGAAAGGGTAGATAATAGCAGGACAAGGGGAAATGGTTTTAAGTTGAGGGAGGGAAGATTTAGGTTGGATGTCAGGGGGAAGTTCTCTAACCAAGAGAGTGGTAAGGTGCTGGAACAGGCTGCCCAGAGAGTTTGTGGATGCCTCATCCCTGGAGATGTTCAAGGCCAGGTTGGATGGGACTCTGGGCAGCCCGGTCTAGTATTAAATGAGGAGTTTGGCAGCCTTGACTGTGACAGGGGGGTTGGAGCTTCATGATCCTTGAGGTCCCTTCCAACTTGAACCATTCTGTGATTCTGTGATTCTGTGTTTCAGCTTTCATGCTGTGTCTGCTTCAAGCAAATGTAAAGATTTCAGCCTTGCCTTTGCAAAAAACAGAAATCATTCACTTTTTCCCCTTCAACCTATGGAAAGGACAGTCACGGAACAAAGCATTGGGTGTAACTGCAGCTGCCACAAGCAGAACATTATGGTTTATTTAAGGGCAGGGCAGAAGCCAACAAAAAACTTGACTGCAGGAACTGAAGCTTCTGTGCACAGAGAGCTCTAAAGCACTTTGAAGGAAGGCAGTATGTAGTGCAAAGTTTCACCAAAGTTAATTTCAGTATCACACTGCCCAGTTTTACCTAAGGAGTTGGTCACCCTTGCCTACCACAAGCAGCAAGAATATGCTTTGGGTCCTAATGCCATATTCAGACCTAAGGATGAAAACACCTAGGGGGAAAGTTTTCAAAATGCACTCTCAATTGCCATATGGTATTCAAAAGATCTGAAATAGAGGTTGCATGAGGGGGGGGGAAGAAGTTAATTAAATTGTTAGTAAATAGCTACTAATATTTTCATTATAGGCATTTAAACTCAGTATGCTGTCTCTCTTTTGTATCTCCTGCATCTGTTCTGATTTTCTGTTTCATTGTAAATGTGTACAGCAATCTAAGAAAAGGCATCTTATTCATCTTTGACAGGGAGAAATTAAAAAGACAGTTGGCATTTTGGACTGTAATTTTGTTACTACTAGCATATAATAAAAGTTGGCTTGCTACACAGAGTTTTCAGTTCTTGCAGATGCTACCGTAAGTATTCTTCTACACGTGGTTGTTGTACCTTTCCAACTACAGCCCATTTCAAAATTAATATCCAGGGACCATTTTTTTGTCAGATTTGAGGGAATAGAGGTGAGCTGTACTGTACTGGCACCTGAAAGTTAAACCTTGTAACAATGCTGTTTTGCCAGGTATTACTGAAAACAAGAAAGGACAATAAGACAGTCTCTTGCAGAGAACTTACAACATATCAGGCAAAGGAAAGTGGGAAGGCAGACAGACAAGAGCATGAGATGGGATATGACACAGCCTGAGGGAGTAGCGACAGGGGGCCTGCAAAAGCAATCCAGGCTTTTTAGTGCATTTTCTAGAACGCTATTCTTCTAGTTTTGTTTCCCTCCAAAATACTCCAAGACAAGGCAGCTTACTCAAAACTGTAAGTTAGCCAGAAGAAATCAGCTTTTGCCTTTTAATGAAGATTTAAAACAAAGCAGGGGTAAAGCAAGAACTGAGAAAGAGTAGAGTAAGGTATTAGCAAAAGGTTACCCTTCAAATCATGGAGCCCTTGAAATAGGACTGCCTTTGCTTTTCACTTTGGAAGTTCTCAGAGTTTTGCCAGAGATAACGTGCTACTGCAAACAAGGCTGATCTGAGAAAATGACTCATGGTACCTGACTCAAAGGTATAGAGAAGTAATATGGGAATGAGGCATTCACTTCCCTGTAGTGATAAATGGGGGAGAAGGGTTGTGATGGCTTGTGATGATACTGCTGTTGAGACCCAGCTCAAGATACTTCAGAATGATCTGAGTGCTCCTTGTCAGAAACCAGCCTCGAGGCCTGACATTTCAGACTGAGATAGCCAAATGCAGAACACTGCAGGATCACTGCAAAAATCCTGGGCGTGGACTTGAAAATGCTCACTGTTCACCATCATTTATCATTTTCCCTTTGTGATCAAATATCCTCAGGATTTTCACTTTCTAGTTAAAAGCAGTGTGTTACAGAGAGCTTCTTTGTGTGCAGAAGCCATGTGAGCTTTTACACCTGCATGCAAAACAAAATAAATGTGTTTTGTTACTACTTTGAACCATATAGCCACTTCTATTAAAAGCTGCATGCAAATAGCTATCTTTAGTGTGCCACAGATTAGTCATATTTGTTTTCCAAGGAAGATTATAAATAGTGTTTAGGGGGGAAACAGAATGTATTTTGCAAATGAGCCCAGATGGAAAACTAACAGATGGCCCAGTACTGGATTTTGTATGCTCAACCCTACATTTAAATTAAAAATTTTCATAATTAAGATGAAGATCCGTAACAACGCTAGCTACTTGTCCTGTGCAGCATTATATATCATGCATCACAGGTATGAAGTGCAGACTTTTCATAAAATAGTTGTAGAACGTGTAAGCAAATTTTTCTACATAATTAGTGGGGGAGAAGAGGGGAAGAGCAAGAATAAAAAGCAATTCATGGAAATTAAAGAAAGGGGAAAATGAAAACATTGTGTACAAACACATGCCATACAGGAAAGATATCTAGCACCATCCGGCTTTTTCCCTTTGCGAACTGAATGACCTGCCTCCATTCTCAGAAAAGGAAGGGAAAGAAAGGTCACATTTTTTACAGCCTTTCGGCCTAGAACTGTTAGGCCAGTGGGATTTTCCCTTTTCATTGCCTGAATGAAATGGGGCTCTTTAATTTTAAGAACTGGAAGGTCAGATAAACTGTGATCATATGCACACACTATATTTTGCAAGCAGAAGCAAAGGCAGTGATTTGCATGTTAATATTTTCCTCCCATAAAGTGATGTCTGTATGCACATTTGGTGTAACAGCTACAGACCCAGTTCCTAAAGTTGGAACATTACTCCACATTATGATGATATGATATGGTGATATGGTCAGGGGATTCAGCAGAACTCACCTCTTTGACATGAGGTGGAACAGGGTGTCCCAACTTGGCATGAAACCCCATACTGTGCTCCCCGCTGCACAGAGCATTGCCCCAGCATGGGAAAGATGTGGCTCCTGCATTCACAACCTCTTGGGTGAGAGGGAGGAAGAAGTGGTACTGATAGGCTGTGTTGATTTTTTGAAATTGAGTGCTCTTGGACCACCCAAGATTCAGGAGGAGTAAGAATGGCTTCAGAGTATTTCTGCCTTCCCAGTGTGCTCCCTGAAGTGCTCTCCTTGGCTGTCCAAATTCATAAGCCAAGCTACCAGACATAGCCTTATGGTGAGAGGTACCACTTCTGTATAAAGGAACAAACATCACCCATGTACAACTGTCAGGGGTTCTGCAGGGGTTAATAAAAATGATACTAACAGGAGACACTCAATAGCAAGACAGGAACTCACTAGTTTTACAAATCAGTTCACTGCGGTAGAAAACACACTTTATTATCAGATAGTTGCTGTTTCTGCTGCTCTGACTGTCATAACATTAAGTGCCTTACCAGAGTGCATTAACTAGCATGACTCGTGACGATCATCTTGTTCATTTTCCTGCTCAGCTCATCCCCATGGAGGGAATTCTAGGTACAGCAGATGTCTTGTTTTGCTACAGCATATACTATTTTTGGACATGTTGTGGTGTCTATTTTAGTGAAGGAATGACTGAAGCTGCATGCCTTGCACTGGAACGCAGCAGGGGATGCTTATGACAGCTTTCCACTGTTGCAGAAGTCTATTCCACAGTCACAAGCCAGTTCCCAGGATGGCAAAGGCAAGCTTGCCTGCATGGAACATCTGTAAATGATAATGAAAAAAGCCTCAAAAATACAGGCAAAGATGACAAAGATAAAAAATTCCATTTCAGATTAACCCATCTGATAGTACTCTCAGGCATTTGTTGTCCAAATTGTAAATCCAAGTAAGGTGGTGTTTTCATCCTAGGGAGTGCTACCATTCTGCTGCCAATGTTCTTTCAGAATCTTCTATGTAGGCTTGACATTTCTGAAAGACTTCTCCAAGAGAAATACCCACTCATCAATTTCTCCCTCCCTGCTTTTCCTCCTGTGTGTACCACTGATCTGATGACTGCAGAGACATCTGCTGGTTGTTATATGCTTTGGGTATTAATTAATTGTAAGGAAGACAGAAAATTTCTCAAATCACATTTAGATTCTTTACTTTCTTTCTCAATTTCTGAAAGTTTGTTGAAATTAAGTTTGATTTATTGGTGCAGTGGTGAAGTAAAGATTTGAACTGGTCTGTTTCTGTAATGGTATTTATCAAAGTTTTCGAGTTGCAGGAAATCTAGCTTGACTTGTAACTCTTATTTAGAGTCAGGTACATTTAGAAGTTTATGATGACTGCACATCCTCATGCAACTTCCCAGTATCTTTTGTACATTCTAATAGATTTTTGGATTTACTTCCACATTGCAAGTATGAATTCTTCAAAATAAAGAATATTCTTTATCTATCTGTGCAGTACCGTAAAAGCTAGACAGTCTACTTCCAGTAGTGCATATGGCTTGCTTTTCTGCATGTATGAGTATAGGAAACATGTCTTCAATTCTTGCCGTTTGCTGCAACTTATCCCATCCCACTCTAACCCTACTGTTAGTATATTCCACTTTAAGAAGATCTTTCCACATTATCAGCCTATTTGCACCTCTCTGATAACCTGGTAATCCACCAGCACTGAAACACCGGTTTAATAATCAACATGCAACCTAATCTGGGCTTTCCAGGCAGGTGAATTTGACTGTAAATCAGTTCTGTATACAGGTTTGTCTCTTCTGTTCTTAATTGCACCTGAGCAAATCTTAATTTGTATATGATTGCCTAATATATTGTTTCAGCTTTTTGCATTTCCAGAAGTCACATTTCCATACTGAACACTTTTTGGAGAAAGAAAATGACTCATTCATTAATTCAAATGTGACAAACAAAATAGTTAATACTTCTCTTAGCTAATGTTACTTGAATTTACAGCCCATGTTCTACAAAGACTTTGTGTCTATAGTAGCGGCAAAGCCAAAAACTCAAGCAGATAGGTACTAAGGATGAAGGAGAATGCTCTGTTATTTGTTCTGTTCTCATCAGGAAAGGGTGGGATGTTTCCTGGTGCATGCTTCCTCAGCTTGGAAAAGGACAGGCAACAAAGAGAAGCTTTACTATCTAGGTCACATTTTGTGGAAAGCCAGAGCTCAATGTTATGAATTCTCTGTGTGTGGAGTAGTTCCAGAATTAGCCCCAGGCCACCACCAGCAGCTGCTGCAGCACACTATGGCCGTGGGCACCACCATACAGGGCTGGAAAGACACAATCCTCCTCTTGCCTTTGAGATGCAGTGCAGTGATGCTATAGTTTCTCTTCCCCCAGACACAGCAGGCTGCAGTGAGAGTCCCAGCCAACATTTGGTCTTGGTGCTGAGATGGTACTTGTCAGAGGAATGATCTCTGGAACACAACCAAGAGATCAAATGCAAGGGCTGCTGATAGAGAGCAGAGAAAGGAGAAAGAAAGGCAATGTGAGCATTTCCTAGTATTAAGGCATATAAAGGAATTCATGATGGGATTTTCACTGAAGGAAATAATATAAGCACAAGTTCTCCTAACAGTGCTACACAGTCCCAAAATCAGACCCCTGCCCAGGCAACCTGTCTGGGAGCTGGCTATTTCTTTCGAGTAAACACAACATATTTCTTTTTCCATTTTCTT